AGGAGGTTTGTTCAGTGGCAGTAAATCTACGATGGAAAAGTAGTTTTTGTATTTTCTCTTTCATAATCGTATTATTTCCCCCCCTTACTTCTTGTTAAATTTCTACCCCTTATCACCACTGTTGTTAGTTAACTTGATTATCGTTAAATTTTAGTTATATTCTGCTCAACCCTGTCAATGAATTATATTACGTCATTTATTTAATTTTATTTGAGTTTCTATCCGATTAACGCCTTCTACACTACCTAATTTGTTATCTAAAATGTACACACACCTTTTGAAATATTCCTTTTGTTGCGAAGAAAAATTTTTTCCTTCACTTTCCCCAGTGGAACATAGGGCTTCAAGCTAGTGGCTTGAAGTTTCTGTAGCCACGTGTTTAATTTTACAGCATGGGTGTAAGCGCAATATCGCTTGAAATTAAGTCACGCGTAGATAAAGGCTATCCCGGTCCAGAACAAACAAGAAGCCGGTCACTGTTTCTACGGTACTATTAATAAACAAATCAATAATTATATATATACAACAAACCTTAACGGTTTCAAGAGTACAAAGCACAACGCTTAACAGAAAGCAAGGTACCGCTATCAGAGCGGAATAACGTTAAAGCCAAAATTGCGAACTAGCCGAAACCAGACACGACCGTCCAGGTAAGCAGTCAGTAGAAGAATGAACCCAAGTAAGGTATGGCATAAAACAGAGAGCGTTTAAGAGAGATAGACCGAGCATAGGCACAAAGATAGAATTTAATTGGCTACTTAACCAGGTAGGAAAATACAGATGAAAATCAATAAATAAGATAAACTCGACAGAATAGTACAAAGTTAGACATGGGTCAGCAAAAATAACAGTTCACAAAATACTCTGATTGGGCCATGAGTTCAACTGTCTGACTAAACAGATCGAGGTAAAAACACATACACACAGTTCATTAAACAAGCAGGGATAGACACGTTAGGCATGGATAATTGGGTTGCAACAACTCTAGGCTGATCCGGGACAGGTTGACTTGATTCAAGGATGGGAATAAAATTGATCTTACAATGGGGTTGCTAGCTTCATGTCCAACCTTTCCTCTTTACCAGCATTAGTTCTGGCTTAGCGAGGTAAAGGAAGAAAATTTACTATATACATATCTGTGATTGTATAGCTTGGAAGTGATATCGCCTGAGAAAATTAAACTGATGCAATCCTGTGCACTGAAACCCAGTCAAAATCACTTAGGAACTAGGTTTGTAGGTTATAGGCTTACCATTTCACTCCGTCCTCCTTTATGACTGTTAAGGAGACATGGTTTTTGGATGTGAAAGACAATGAGAAGGCGGGCTAGCTGTCTTTCATAAAAAAATGTTTGCGTTCTATTTCCCTTGATAGGTATCATAATAAAATGAGTAATATTAAGGTTGTGTCCAGTGCTAGGTAGGTAGGGGAAATAAGTCGATGAGGTTGTGAAGCAGAGCCGTCGGTTGAGATAGCTAGGATATGTGCTACTCATGCTAGACTCATCAACTTCTTCCTCGAAGGCCAATGTAAGCCACTGACATGAAAAGGTTGACTGCTTTCGATCATAGATGTCTGCGATCTCTGTCTCGCGTTAGGTGGTTTCACAAGATAAGTAATGTTGACGTTAGGCGTAGAGTGTTGGGCAAAGATGGAAAATCAATCGACGAGGCTATAAAGTTACATAGACTAAGATGGCTAGGTCACGTGGTGCGCATGCCTAACCACCGCCTCCCCCGACGGGCATTGTTAGCTGATATAGGTTCATGTTGGAAAAGAGCCAGTGGTGGCCAAACAAAAACATGGCCTCATCAATCCATGAAATCCTTGATAGTTAAACTGAGTCAGGTAGGGAGATGCAGACTCCCGGGTTGGGGCCCTCGGGACTCTAGGAATCAATGGCTGGAGACAATAGGTGACATGGCTCAAAATCGTTGTCAATGGCCAGCGCAGATGTATTCAGTCTCTGTAATCTTTCATATTCCTTTCTGCCATTACCCATTCTGTTTCACTCGTATACTTGTCAAACTCTATTGATTCTCTTCACTCATCTTCTTGTCTACCTCTGTGTGCTATTTGGAACGTGGCAACTCGAACTGGTGCACTTCGGTGCCAAGTTCTATGTTGAATCCAGACAGCCAGACAGACTGACATAGGATACAATCAGGTTGGAAAAGAGTTGATTAGCAGTGCGTGATCAAACCAAAATATGGACTCATCAGTCAGTGAAATCCAGAACAACAGCTGGTTTAAGCCAAGCAGCAGACCACATAGAAGTGTGTGTTGACTGACTGACTGACTGGCTAGTTGGTAAGAACCAATGACGACTGGAGACAATTTGTGGTGATATGGCTCAGATGCATTTACTCTGTGATTTTTCATGTCATTCAATAAAATTCTTCTTGCATATTGCTACTATTCTAATTACCTCTCTCAAACTTGTGTTTATTACCTCTTTCTCTTGATTGTCTCTTCACTCTCTTTTGTTTTGTGTTCTACATGGGGATATTTGCAACTCGAAACAAGTGTGTCAGTCGATGAGGTTTTATTATTATTATTGTATCCTTTAGTTCCTAGAGGAACATAGGGCTTCAGCTGCGCACCTCCATTGACTTCGGTTTTCTGACAACTTTTTCAACCTGCTCCAGGTCTGTCCACATACTTTCATCTCCTCTTCGCATGACCTCCTCCAAGTCACCCTTGGACGACCAACTCGCCGCCTCCCTTTCGGGTTCCACTCGAGCAAGGGCTTGTCTAGTGATGTCACTTGATGGTTTCCTCAGCGTATGGCCAATCCATCTCCATTTCTTTCTGCCTATTTGTTTCACAATCGGTTCCTGATTGGTTCGCTCCCAGAGGTCCCTGTTGTTGATCTTTTCTGGCCATCTGATCTTGAGTATTGAGCGGAGACAGTTGTTAATGAAGGTTTGAAGTTTGTTTGAGATGCTCTTTATGACTCGCCAAGTCTCTGATCCGTATAGTAGCACTGACTTCACATTGGAGTTGAAAATCCGGATCTTATTTTTGATCCTGATTGCTGTTGACATCCACACAGACTAAAGAATAATGAAAGCTTGTCTTGCTTTTCCGATTCTGGCTTTGATGTCCTCGTCAGTTCCGCCTGTAGTTGAGACGATGCTTCCCAGGTAGGTGAAGGAGGTTGTTTCTTTCAGGTTATCGATGAGGTTGGGGTAGTCAAATTATGCGATGATAAGATAAATTTATAATTTAGAGAAAAACTTTCCGCAGAAATCGTGACCCGGTAGGGTGGGAGGTAGATAGCTGCAGTTCTGAAAAAGTAGCCTAGTTTGGTAGGGGAAAAGAGGAGGATAACTGAATCTATACTGATATAATGACACGACACCCACATACTAAGAGAAAATGGAAAATATTATTACTACCAATAAAGTTTAATCACTGCTGGTTTCCCAGTGGCTCTCTAACTGATATTAATCCGTGGTCTCAAACTTGAAACAAATTGAACCTCTAAGAACAAACTGTCGAAAACTGCCGGTCTCCATCATCATCCTTAAACACCTGTGCAGTCATTCCGTCAGGTCCCACTGCTTTGCCTCGTTTCAGACTAGTGATAGCCTTAGTAACCTCAGTTAAGGATGCTGGACCTGTGTCTATATCCTATTCAAGGAGATGTTGGATGCTCGGTAAGTTGAGTGTAGCTGTAGGCCAATTAAATTGCCCCTCAAAGTGTGTTATTTTCAACGTTCTAGTCGTCTGTCGTGGGAGTTAATTATGGTGGCATTTTTCTCAGAGATTGTTTCACTTATCGTTTGTCTTTTACCATTAGTTTCCCTGATAAACCTAAATAAATAGTTGTCTGGTGTTACCAATCACGGATGCCTTTTTCATCTCTTTCGATCTTGTCTCCCACCACTGTTTACGGTTGTTACGAAGGCTTCTTGTTTTTTTTCGTTTGAGTAGCTTTCGCTCCTCATCATAATCGGAGCTGAATGGAATTTGTCTTCTTGCCTCAATCAGTTCGGATGAGGTGGTAGAGATCCAATGACCCTTACTAACTTTTGGTTTTAGGTCATTAACAGCTGTTGCAGCTGTGTCTACAGCTAACTGTATGTTGTTGCAGGCTCCTGCTGTCGCCCTCAGATACTCATTTCGCTATTTTTTTTCCTTAAATAGAGACTGTCTCGATTTAGTTGGGTGCGTAACTGCTTCGCAGCCTACAATTTTTGTGTGTCCGTTTAATCTTGAGCATAAACATGCGCGAACCAGAGCGTGATTGGAGTCTACACATGTAATCCAGAAGGAGCGTAGTCTTTTACCGACCTTCGCCAACGCTAACCTATCGCCATGCGCTCTATCTGAGTCCAGCGTTGATTTGGTAATGGAAGTCGCCAGGTTATGCAGTGTGTCTCTTTGTCCCTAAAGTTAGTGCTGGACAGAGAGAGAGATGAATATCTGAACAGAGCTGTAGAAGACGATCATCGTTATCGGTTTGACGGCAGGGAACTCCGGACGTACCACCTATATACTTCTTAGTCTTGGATAATTTCCCTACTTGTGCATTGAAGTCGCCTGCTAAAACAACCATATCTGAGAATAGAGCTCATATGAAGAACGGTGTTTGAAGTTATTTGAGCCATAACCTAATGAACAAAGCAGTGAAACACCAGCATCAGAAGCTATTGTGTTCGTTCCCATGGTTTTCGGGGACTAGGGAAAGGTACATACGCCATTCTATCTTTTTGGGATTCTGGAACTCTCATACACACACACACACACACACATCGTAGGTTGGGTTCGGAATCAATTAGGGTTTCCCATTTCTCCCTTTTGGCAAAACTTTAAGTTTATATATATATATATATATATATATATATAACTATAGGTCTATGGTCTCAGATTTGACCGAAGTGTACTACCCGTCCTTGGTTGCCGTACAGTCTTTTATGTGGCGGGGGTGACATGAGGTAAATTTAATTACTCACTCCCTATTTTACTTTTTATTTATTTATTTTTTGTTTTAGGTCAGGAGATTATTGTTGGTATGTCAGCGCATACAAATGAATCTGGAGCGCATGCTGTCGCTCGTGCCTTCCCTGAATATGCCACATCGATTGTCAAATTGCCTCCAGTCTTTCGATCGTTGAAAGATGCTGTCAGTGTTGCGGGGATTAATGTCTAGCTGTAGGTGAAAGTGAAGCCGCTAAACAATTACTAAAGGTGTGTTTACCTTGATATTGTTATTTTATATGCTCATCAGGCTTCAGCTATGGGGAACATCTCCACTTCGTTCTGTTCCCTGTAACCTTTTAGCTGCCTTCCTGATTTCCCCATGAGCTTTCATTTCTTTCTCATATAAACACACGATTTCCCCAATGTGTTACCTTTCAGCGAAATGCCCAGCTCGTCTTTTCCCATTTCAATTCCGTCTGTAGTGCCTGCGTGGAGTGTGATTTCACTCAACGATGTCCTCAGTGCGTATTTGTCCAATCCATCTCCACTTACCTTTGCGTATAATTTTTAAGCGACATGTTGTTGCGCGCTTGGTCGCGAGAAGTTTATCCCTTACTGTTCGAAATACTTTTCGTGACATGCGTGCATCAATTCTCTATAATACTATCGAAGTTCTGATGTAACATTAAAAATCCTTATCTAGTTCTGTATACTGAGTGGGTGAGTGCAGTAGGTCATCTATATCGTTTTCAGATGGAATGAAGATCTGTCTTTCTTTTCCTATCCTATCCTATCCGATCTGATGCGATAGTGACTGGTCGGTTGGCTTTGTGATATCTTCATCTGTTGTGTCGCTGCTGCCTGTGTAGATGAATCAACCGTCATCATCATTTCCTGTGATCACTTAAAAGTCTTCTTGAGAAAATAACTCCGAAACAGGTTTGCTTTCAATTCTCCTTCAATACACAGTACTAGGTATTATGAGACCACTTTTATGAGTTAGGAAAGCAGTTCGGTCAAGAATTCATCAGTATTATTTTAAAATCTATGAAATTTTCCCAGAATGAATGACTGAGTTTCATCATAGAACTTTGCACAGGTGTGCACCAGCTCAAGTTGTAAATCCCCCTGTAAAGAACACAAAGAAAGAGAAGAGTAGAGAGAGATAAACCAGTGTGTGAGTCAGAGGATAAGAATAGTAGTAATAGAATAATAGTTTTATTGGGTGGCATGAGAAATTAAAAGGAGTGAATATATCTGAGCCACCACTCAGAACGAGGATTTTGAGCCATATCACTACCAATTGTCTCTAGTTGTAATCGGTCCTTATCATCCTGAGGACACTAATCAAGTACACAGGCAGCTTACACCTTCGTGGCTGGCTGGCTGGATTAAACTAGCTGTTGTTATGGATTTCATTGACCGATGAGTCCAACCTTTTAACAACCTGATCCTATCCTATGCCATTGGCTTACACTGCCCTTCGAGGAAATCGATCGATGGCTAGGCTAGCATGCGTAGCACATGTCTTAACCACCTCAATCGATGCAGCTACTTCACAACCTCGTTGATTGACTTTCCCTCCTAACCTTGCACTCGATTGATGCCTCACTTCAATATTACTCACCGTATTATACCGCTTAACTAACATGGGAGATCGAACTCAGACACCAATGATGGCAGACAGCTAAGTAGACTTTTAATATTCTTCACTTTCAGTGACCATGTCTTACAGCCATAAAGGAAGATAGAGCGAACTGCTGCTTCTGTGCGGTACACACCTCCTTTGGTTGACGGTCTGGTATTCTGTCTGCGCACGAGAGATTGCGTAAGTCGGCATATGCCAAACGAGCCTTCGGTATCTGTGTCGAGATTTCGTCAGCAATCAGTCAGTGCGTTGGGACTGATGCAACTTTCCAAATAAGTGAAGTGGTAGTCAATACACTCTACGACTTCACTCTTGCCTATCTTTAGCCTAACAGTAGATGAAGTCTAGTCTTGTTGCACCGTTTTACATTGTTTTTAAGCAAATCGTATGTGAAGCATTTGAAGATTGCTGCTGAGAGTATTATGAAGACGCAGTTGAATTTTATCAGCGCCTTAACCTAGTAGGGAGGATATATCATCCTCATAATCTAAGTCACCAAGATTATTCCGTGGTGGTATGAAGTCAGTCCTTGAGTCACTGAAATCTGTTAGGGTTAAGTCCATTATTGCTCTGTAATGATGAAACTAAACGGAATTTGGTAGATTAGTGTTGGGCATTCCTGACGGACACCAACCATTGGTTGTATTCACAGTTGTTAGGTGACAACTCTCCGTACGCTGTTATCTGGTTACATGGGTTCCATTAGAGTGCTTTTATAAATACGATGTCAACCTGATGGACAATGTTAGCTGATATAGGGTCAGGCTGGAAAAGAGCTAGCCTGTGGGGGGTCAAACCAAAACATGGCCTCACCAGTCAATGAAATTTACAACCGTCAGTCTAAGCCAGCCACGTAGGAAGGTGTAGACTGCTGTCTGGTTGGGGTCCTCGGGACGGTAAAAACAATGGTTGGAAACAATTGGTGACATGGCTCAAAATCCTCGTTCTCAATGGCTGGCTGGCTGGCGCAGTTGCATCCACTCCTTGTGGCTTATGATTTCCAATGAAACTGTTTTGTTCTTTGTTACTACTATTCCTTTGTCTCACACCTCTGTTTACTGTTTCTATTATGCCTTTCTTCTACTTTCTTTTCTTGCTTTGTGTGCTACAAGGAGTGGAGTGTGGCGACTTGAACTCCCGCACATATGTGCAAGGTTCTATGTCGAAAACAGACAGATCTGATGGACCACAAAGTGGTCATGACATCTCCCTAGAACACTCTAAGCAACTTCTTCCACCTACAGCCAGTTGCTGAACAGCGCGCATCAGATTAGTTTTATAGTGGGTCAGTTTGTTACAGGGATTTGACTTGCTTCAAGTTTGATAATCCCCTGATATCATCACGGTTACAGAAGCTTTGCAAACCAGGGAGTACAGGACGGCTACCCGTTTCATCAGCCTAGTCGGTGACTCATCGACAGTGCCTTCGTTGACAGACAATGTTAGTTAACGTATAATTAAGTTGTAAAGTGGTCTACCTGTGGATGGGCCTCTGAAATCTGGCTCCATCAATCCACGAAGTCTTTTTTGACAATTGATTTGTGCTGCTAGTCGTGTAGAGGGATGTAAACCGCCTGACTGACTGAAAGACTCGTTAGAGTCCTTGTGATGTTGAGAAACATTGGAGGTTAGAGACTATAGATGTGATGATATGGTCCGAAATCCTCGTTCTTAGTGACGACGCAGATCCATTCACTGTGTGTAATCACCCATATCCATTTGACTCTGATGTTTCTCGGATACATTTCTACATCAATAAAGATCTTTTGAACCTGACTGTTTGTTCTACCATTTTTCTAGTACATATGGTTTGTGTGTGCGTGTGTGTATGTTGAGACGTCTATAAGTTATAGTTCTACGTTGAAAATCCAACCAGTGAGCCAGTTAGTCAGTCTATACATGAGAAATTGGAATTTCAAGTCTTAAACAGCTTAAGATGTGTGGGTTTTGAAAAGTTGGACAAAATTGCAAAGGTGTCATAGGTAGTAGCATCTATTCTTGTTTAATAATCTGGGTAGTTGGGTGAGTACTGGCAGTGTGACGGTGAGATTTCCAACCGTATCTGGAAGCTAGGGTGGCTATGCTAATTGAGTCACTTCTGGCGCCGTCTCAGTGTTAGTCTGCCTGGCCGTCAAAGGTAGGATATGCAGTGCTTAGGTGCGCGCAGTCTTGTTCTACACCTGTTAAATCTGGCCTATCCGAATGAGCTGACAATGTGCGGTGACTCTGCTTATTCAACCATCACTGTCTCTGTAGAATTGCTTACGTTCAATGGCATCATTGTATGATTAATTCTCAGGTCCGGTAGCGTGTGTGTAGACACAATGAAGATCACCAATTATTGAGTGTCGTCGTCATCTGGGGACAGAGGCTTCGATGGCTTGGACATGTGCTACGAATGTCATCACACTGGAGGCCTCTGTACCCGTCTTTGCTCGCTAACTCTGAACGGAATGGAAGAAGCGAAGAGGTGGTGGTCAGCTAGCCTGTGACTCTGCATCATAGGATGAAGGATATTTGTGTTAGCTTAGCGTCATCGGTTGGCACATCACGACCCCCCCCGTGGTTGGGGTCGGAGAGATAGCTCGAATCGTAGGCTTGAAAAGTCATTGGATATGGCTAGGAATTGCAATCATCAATGGTGACTATGCTGCATTTTCTTTGTTTCCTCCCTTTCTGGCAATAATTTGATGAATACCATTTGATCCTGTAAAATATAGATGCTTCCTTTCTACATGAAGTCCTTATTCATTCTCTATTTCTCGTTTCATATGCTGCTGTTTCATTATTATCATTATTATGTCGCACATCTTGATGCCTATACTGTACCAAGTTTTATGTTTTAGGTAAATAATAGAATAATAAATAGATTATTGTTCAGGATCATATTACACACAACGGTGGTGATCACCCTCATTTTCTATATGCACATTTGTGCCGTCTGTCTGTCTGTCTATCTATCTGTGTGTGTGTTGAAGGTTACTGAGTGTGACTCACTGACCGACCAAGCGGAGGCTTGTTGTTTTGGCTAAGTTGCTTAACAGCTTTTTTGTTTTTTTTTTAGTAAAAACTCTGTATGAATGTATGTATTTTTGTGCTGGTGTGGATGGATGAGTGTCTTTGGCGATACTGCCGACTAAGTATTAGAAATACACACCGTTATTGTTAAAATATACGTACACACACACACACACACACACACACGCCTAACTGACTCCAGTTGTGTTTTTACTCACAATAAAATTAACGCCAACATAAACATCATTTTCAAAGTTTATTATCATTGTGTTTACATTGAGTGAACAATAGAAAAATAGCAAAAAAACATTGACTTATTGAAATGTCATTGTGTGTATCATGGTTGTCGTGTGTGTGTGTGTGTGTTTGTATCGGTTTATTGACTTTACATATAATGGTGTCTATGTCGCACAACAAACTCGAAGAATCACCGGCGAAAACTAACAACAACAACAACAACAACAAGTGGTTGTGGCAGCGAAGACCGCAAGAACTTCCTTCAAGCAAGTAGAGAAGACAGAAATGGTGTAGATAACCAACCAACCAACCAACCAACCAGCAGCAACAACAAGCAAGCACCAATCACCGTCATCAGTGGGATAAATTTGAAAGAGCTCCCGTCCTTCTCTTATCTGACTAGGCAATATGGTTTCAACTGCAGGCTCTGGCACAGATGTGGATGTCAAAATGAAGCAGAATTGGAAAAGTAAGACAGGCCCTTCATCACTTTGTAATCAGTTTGGAAGTCTGTCTATGGGTGTATACAGATGAGAAGTGCCACAATAGTACGAAACACCTACCCTGTACTCCGAACTGCTTTTTTTTTCAATGGTTCTCTAACATATATCACATGATGATCAAACTTTAAAATTAGTCAAAAATAGTTTTCCAACTAAGACCAGCCCGTTTTTGATTGATTTATTGATTGTTATGTTGAAGTGAAGCTCTTTGTATAGGTTTATGTTAACAAGTTGGTTCACTCCCCGGTATATTGCTCATGCACACGCTAGATAGATAAAACTTGATATACGGGAGAGACAGATACGCAAACACCTGTCATTGGTCAAAAGCGACATTTAGTCGGCCTTTTCACATCACATCTTCCACTTTTTCAATGACCATTGCCTAACTTACAATCATAAACAAGAGAGGACAAAGCGAACTACTGTTGTGTCGCCCTACTTAACCTACCTAATCGATAATAAGCCCTAGAAAAGACAGAGAAGGAAGGTTGCTTGATGGCAAGGCTGGCTAGCAGACACCACAACAACGGCTACTGAGACTTATGAACATCTTGGGAGCTCGTAAGCCACCTCACCACCGTATATATTTCACTCAATGCAGAGAAAGGATTTAAAAAACACAACATCGGTAATTTATTTAGATACATTTACTAATGATGAATAGACTATGGGATACTCGATATTTTTTGAAAATGATAGTGATCACTTTTGAAGTTTCAATAACATGTGAATTAAATTAATAAATCTGGTTTGTTTAGTCACATGCAATCAAAACGTGTTTTTTTTTTCTAACATCTTTCAGGTTTTTCAGATCACCAAACTATCTTATCAAGTTGAATTTTGTCTATTTACAGCTGTTTTCTTATATTGGTGAGAGTATGAGCTCCTAGGATAGACAACTGAAACTTTGGAGGGGATATTTTGGTGTGAACTACTGTTTGACTGGTCTACGGTGGCCCCACCGTTCTCAACTTGCCCAACATCATCCAGCACCACCTATCTGCATGGGATGCAGTTTTAAGTAGATAGGGAGTAAGTAAACTGGTGGGGTGTGTTGACTGCTTCGCTTATTTAGAAAGTTACATCAGCCCTAAACGCAGACTCTTAACTGATGAAATCTCAGTATGTATACAAAAGCGGCTGGTGTTGGGGTTATTTGCCAACTTATACCATATCTCTGGCTGGAGATGGTAGTTGGCAAATACCCCCAACTTGGCATCAGTCAATGAAATCCACAACAGTTGGTCTTAGCCAGTCACGTAGGAAGGTGTAGACTTCCAGCTGGGGTCCTCGGGACGACAAAAATCTATGGTTGGAAACAATTGGTGACATGGCTCAAAATCGTTCTCAGTGGCGCAGATGCATCCACTCCCTGTGACTTATGATCTTCAATGAAATTGTTTTGTATTTCTTTATTACTCCTTTGTCTCACACCTCTGCTCACTGTTTCTATTATGCTTTTCTTGTACTTTCTTCTCTTGCTTCGCGTGCTACACGGAATGTGGCGACTTGAACTTCCGCACATTTGTGCAAAGTTCTATGTCGAAAACACACAGACATCTCTGGCTGGCTATCGATCGAAGAACCTCTGTACTCGGGCCAGTAGCTTGCTCTGTCCTCCTTTATGTTTGTAATGCACGGGCATTGAAGATATAAAAAGGTTGGCTAGTTCTTTTAAATCATAAGTATCTGCATTCTGTCTCCCATATTAGGCGGTGTAATAGGATGAGTAATATCGAAGTAAGGCATCGGTTGAGTGCTAGTTAGGTAAGGAGGGAAGGTCAACCGACGAGGATGTGAAGCAAAGCCATCGGCTGAGATGGTTAGGACATGTGCTACGCATACTAGCCTCGTCATCGGTGGCCAATGTAAACCACTGACATAGGATAGGATTAGGCTGGGAAAGAGTTGGCTAGTAGTGGGTGGTCAAACCAAAACATGACCTCATCAACCAATGAAATCCATAACAACAGCTAGTTTGATCTGGCTGGCCAGCCATCCAGCGAGCCACGAACGTGTCGGCTGCCTGCCTACTTGGTCGAGGTCCTCGAGATGCTAAGAACCAATGACAACTAGAGGCAATTGATTGTGATATGGCTAAAAATTCTCGTTCTGAGTGGTGGCTCAGATGCATTCATTCCTTGTGATTTGTCATATTATCCAAAATAACTTCATTGTTCTTCCATATAACCACTATTATTTTTCCGTAACTCACACTTCTGTTCATAGTCCATCTCTCCTTTGAACCTATTTTCTCTTGGTTTATATGCCACACGGAGGGAGTATGGCAACTCGAACTGGAGCACACCTGTGAAAAGTAGTTCTATGTTGAAATCGGTCAGTCAGTCAGTCAGTCTCCAACCATTTAATAACAAGAATTCAGAGTGCACCATAATGCCGAGCTACTTAGTGGCATGGTGGGCACATTGGTAAATTGACTGATAAAATTTAATCTGCATCAACCAAAAAACTAGAAGCATGCCACCAGTTAGCGTCCAATCACAGATCTAGTGGATTCAGAAGAAATGCCTTATTTTGGTTAATTCGGGCATGCTCGAGCATATTCCCACATTGTTGTATTTTCTGCTGTCCGCCATGACAGACTGGCCCCACAGTTGTCCATAATGCCTCATCTCCCATTCACCACACTACCTCCTCTATGTCACCCTAACACACACGCACAACTCATCGCTTCCCCTCCGGGTTCCAATCGAGCATTGGTTTGCAGCTCCATTCGACCCAACGGTCTCCTCCACGTGTCTCTCATCCATCCATCCACCTTCAGTTCCTTCATCATATTTATTGAGCAAGAAGTTCTTGATTCGTTCGTTGTCTGCTAGACTTTCTTGTTGCTAATTCTTTCTGACAGGTCATTTCATCTTCAGTGTGTGTGTGTGTGAAGCCAGAGAAACGGGCAGCTGTTGACTAAAGTCTGCCACAGTGTAGCCAATTGGAAATGCTTTTCGTGATGCACACTCCAAGTTTCTGACTCATATATATACAACCACTGACTGGCTTCACATTGGTTTTGAGAATTTGAATCATGTTGTATTTGGGGTGAAGCGGAGTGCAGTGTTGGGTAGATTTCCAAACACTGATTTTAGAGTGAAGAATTGTCTGTGTGACCTGGTGCCTTGACGTTCCAATCCACCTGGCTAACTTTGACATTGTCACCCTTGCTTATCGCCTGTAGTTGAAACGATGTTTAGTCAAATAAGTGTGGGATGTAACCTCTTTCAAATTTATCCCATCGAGAGTGATTAGTTAATTGTTCGGTTGTGTTGTCCTATTCGGTTTGTGCCAACAAACACGAAACCTAAGCCCCCCCTCCCATCAACAGGTCTTCCTACCGATTGCCCCTAATCTTCTAATATTGATATTTAGAAATCTAGTGATGAACAGTCTTCATTGTAGCTTTCAGAACCGACACAGACACAAACCTCGACGATGCATAAAAAAGCTTCACAGAATGCGCTTTTCACATTATAGATTCTTATGTCTATCTGTTTATTTTTTGGTCGTTATTTTTATTTCAGGAGATTGGACGGGTAGCATCACACACATACAAAGTGATCACTTTGCCTGAAGACCATGCCGCCAATGTCTTGTATATCAACCATCACTTACTTCATTTATCCTCCCAAATGATACCAAAAAGTATAGGAGTAAGTTCTTATTATGTTTTCTCTTTGTTTATTTGCTTCAATTTTTATACAAAAGCACTAGTTTTGTGCACATTTCGGGGTGGGGAGACCAAGAGAGAGAGCTACGCGTCACAAAAACTCATAGTTTTTGCGACGGTTGCGGTAACGCTTTCCAGACTGAGGCACAGACCAACGCAAGGGCCACACTCCTAAAGTTTCGACTTGATGGCTGGTCCACAAGACGACAGTGGTGCGGCGGCGTTCGCATGGTTTCTTGTGACCAAAAAAACAGCTTCACAAACACCATTCGATCTTTTCGGATTCTGGAGCCGAGGTGCACGCGATTGGTTAGGATTTATTCCCGCTCCCTTGCCTGTGTCCTCCACCTCCGTCTGTTTAAACTCCAGACGTTTTGCATTCTCCCACTGACTCATTTCTGTGAGTGAGAGAGAGACAGCCTTCTCCACCACCATAGGGAAGGCTTCAGGGGATAAGAAAACCTATCCACCAACACAGGAGGCTATGAGCGCGCGTGGCCACATTGATAGAGAGAGCACTTCGAGGAAGAAGAAGACCCCAATGTCATTGGGAGACTTGAGTCTGCGTCATTAAGCGCGAGCCTCATTAGGCGAGCCTCTCTTACTGTGGCGCGCGCTATCTGTAATGCATTGTAGTAGATAGATTGGATGATGAATTAGGTTGAAGTGAGTTTGCAACCAATGTCTTGACATCTATTCCTCAGTATATTAAGACTCCGCAAAGAGATCATCAAACTACTACTACTACTACTACTGCGACTACTGCTGCCTTTGCAGAACAGCCGCTTGTGTCCGATGACATAATTGCTTAATTAATTCTGAGGTTTTGAAAGCATGCGTTTAACCACACGGTTTGAAGATGATTACCTGTCATTTGTAGTTTGGTCATCTTGAACACATGCTACGAGGAACATCCCAGAGGTGCTCCCCTACCGTTGTCAGTGGCGCAGATGCATCCACTCCCTGTGACTTATGATCTTCAATGAAACTGTTTGTATTTCTTTATTATTCCTTTGTCTCACACCTCTGCTCACTGTTTCTATTATGCTTTTCTTGTACTTTCTTCTCTTGCTTCGCGTGCTACACGGAATGTGGCGACTTGAACTTCCGCACATTTGTGCAAAGTTCTATGTCGAAAACAGACAGACAAACTAGCTGCTCGCTAGACCTTGAAATAGATGGAAGAAAAGGTGAAGATGGGTGGTAGTGTTATTCTATTAGCGCGTGACTCCTTTGTGTTGAAGGATATCTGTGTTAGGTTTACATCAGTTAGCATTAAAAAAATGCTTAAAAGTTTTCGTTTTCTAATAAATAACTCAAGAGATTTCTAGTGCTGATGTCACCAATGATGATATTAGATATATCCATTTGGATCAGGGTTGTAACAACAGTTAAAGACCAGCAACAGGGAGTACCGGACAGCTGTTTCATCCTCATCAGCAGTGCAATTCCATAACCCGAGCTTCTACAGGTTATTGATCTCAGAACTTTTAAGTTATGAGTCGTCCATTCTGTGGACCATTCATTCAACTACTGCGAAAGAAATTGGTGACTCAAGATCTCTAACTTCATAAACTTCATGGTAGTGGTCTTGAGTTCAATTCCCGATGAGTTCATGGATTATGTATACTGCTGAAGAGGAGTTCCGAACTAGGAAGATGATGGAATATCTGTTTCTACTACACCCCTTGGTAATGGTGGTAGTGGTCTGTCTGTCTGTCTGTCTGTTTTCGACATAGAACTTTGCACAAATGTGCGGAAGTTCAAGTCGCCACATTCCGTGTAACACGCGAAGCACGAGAAGAAAGTACAAGAAAAGCATAATAGAAACAGTGAGCAGAGGTGTGAGACAAAGGAGTAATAAAGAAATACAAAACAGTTTCATTGAAGATCATAAGTCACAGGGAGTGGATGCATCTGCGCCACTGAGAACGAGGATTTTGAGCCATGTCACCAATTGTTTCCAACCATAGATTTTTACCGTCCCGAGGACCCCAGCCTGGATGTCTACACCTTTCTACGTGGCTTAGACCAACTGTTGTGGATTTCATTGACTGATGCCAAGTTTTTGTTTGACCGCCGCTAGCTTTTTTCCAGTCTGACCCTATATCCGCTAACATTGCTCGTCGAGGGAGGCGATGGCTTGGCATACGTAACACATGTCCTAACCATCTCAGTCTTTGTAGCTTCACGACTTCGTCGATTGATTTCCCCTGTTTACCTAGAACTCTACGCCTAACCTCCATGTTGCTCACCTTATTATGCCACTTTACACGGGAAATAGAACGCAGGGACCTATGATCAAAGACAGCTAAGCTTTTCATGTCTTCCACTCTCAGTGGCCAGGTCTCACAACCATAAAGGAGGACGGAGCGGACTGATGAGCAGTACACCCGCCCTTTGGTCGATAGTCGAACATCTCGTCTACGCCAGAGTCGGCGTAAACTAACAAATGCGAAACGAGCTCCTTGTATTCGTGCTGAGATTTCGTCAGAGATCAACCTGTTGGCGTAGGCTGATGGTACTTCCCAAATAAGTGAAGCGGTCAACGTGGTAGTGGTATTCCTATGTCTCTCAGTTCGTGATCCAACTTGTAAAAATGGAATCGAATCTATGTTAGGTATACTATCGATTGACTGAGCTGGGCTAGTAGTTGTACACCGCCGTTCATATACTAACCAGTGTTGCTTGCTTTCTACTCAGATCGAGGTGGTCTGCAAACAAAACTCCACACGACGACCATTTCACTATTTTAACAGACCAAGCTCATCACATTCACCGGTGTACCTGGTTTGACCCAGCCTTACAGACACGCAGAAGTCAAATTATTTCAAACTATTGGAATCCTGATTTTCTAATTACATCGGTGAACTGATACTTCTACAGTCCCTCTTCTAGTGAAGATTTACTTGAATTTTCTCTTTGAGAATGGGAAGGTATTTTAATCACTCTATTCATTTAATCTGGATAATTGAACGAACTGACTCCTTTCAAAATTTTTTTTCTGTTGGTAGTGATTAGTGCTGGTTGTTGTTGTTGTTGTTGTTTGGTTATCTTCATCATCTAGGAAGAATAGTTTCAACTACAGAGGCGATAGGCAAGGGTGACAATGTCAAAGTTAGCCAGGTGGATTGGAACGTCAAGGCGCCAGGCCACACAGACAATTCTTCACTCTAAAATCAGTGTTTGGAAATCTACCCACCACTGCACTCCGCTTCACCCCAAATACAACATGATTCAAATTCTCAAAACTAATGTGAAGCCAGTCAGTCAGTGGTTGTATATATATGAGTCAGAAACTTGGAGTGTGCATCACGAAAAGCATTTCCAATTGGCTACACTGTGGCAGACTTTAGTCAACAGCTGCCCGTTTCTCTGGCTTCACACACACACACACACACTGAAGATGAAATGACCTGTCAGAAAGAATTAGCAACAAGAAAGTCTAGCAGACAACGAACGAATCAAGAACTTCTTGCTCAATAAATATGATGAAGGAAATGAAAGCAACCGTTGGGTCGAATGGCACTGCAGACCAATGCTCGATTGGAACCCGGAGGGGAAGCGATGAATTGTGCGTGTGTGTTAGGGTGACATAGAGGAGGTAGTGTGGTGAATGGGAGATGAGGCCCTGTTTTTCGGTTCAGGTATAGAATTTTCAGCATGTGATATCGGTAGCCTAAATTTTGCAGGCTGATCATAGATATTAGGTGTGTGTCGGCAGGGGATCGAACCCCGGACCATGTGCATGGTCGGCGAGCGTACTAACCACTGTACCACTGACTCGTGACAACCACCAACCAATCGCATCGGTGGTGATTATTTGTTCTCATCGTTGAACTGGTGAGTCCCAGTGGTCTGGGTTATGAAATTTCACTTAGTGACTCCAGACAACTTCGTCCCAAAATAGGACCAAACAGATGATTTCAGTACCCTTTGATTTTCAATCATTCTCCAACTGACATCTAACTTGAAACAAATCAGATCACTTACCCCCGCCCCCCCTCCCCCAACAGAATTTTGTTTTCGGAGCTTAGTAATTCATTGTTGAAACTTTTGTTGCCATTGCAATCTACTGAGTATTGTCCCACGTCATCTTTCTCTAGTGGAGCGCGAATAAAAAACGACTAGTTGGTTGGCGACTTAGCCCTCCAGTACTCACCCGCTGGAATTCAAATTCTCGGACCTTGCATTTCCAAGGTGAGCTTGTTGACGACTATTCAGCTACTCAGACTTTACAAACTTCCACTTGAAAATTCATCTGATGTTGATTAGTGGCTGGCTGTATACACAGAAAGAGTTAATTAGAATTCTAGTGAAAGAAGTCGTGTGAAACCGGTGTGTAGGGTATGTACACACAAGTCCAATAAGAGAACAGTTAGTTAATCGCCGACGAGGCTGGCTGTGGTGGTAGTTGCGCTGTATATCCCTAATTGTGTCAGAGGTTAGAATTTCTCAGCCATTGGATTCTGCTCTCCCAGTGGCTGAATAGTCTAATAGCTCTCTCCTTATTACCGGTAGGTTCTGGGTTTTGAACCCTTGCGGTGGGTGCATACTAATTCTTAAGAGGGAGAGTCCTAAACTAGGAGGATGAAACATCTGTCAAGTACTCCCAGGTTTTCCAACAGTTTTCTCACTAAAATGTTAGTTCGTCATAAAAGCCTGTAACCTGCACACAAATGAATTGGACGCTAAAGAAGAGAAATACCGACCAGTTGATGTTTAGGTCACTTCAATTTGGCTGCCTGGTTGCCAAACTCCACTGATTGATTGATTGATTGATTGATTTGAATGCTGGTATACAACTACTCGTGCATGGTCGGTGGCACAGCGGTTAGGACGCGCTGGCTGATCAAGCACATGGTCCGGGGTTTGATCCCCGACCAACGCACACCTGATGTCAATGGTCTGCCTGCTAAATCTGGTCTACAGATGTTACATGCAGAAAATTGCATACTTGCATCAAAAATACTACGTGGAATCAAGGTTTAATAAAAATAAAAGTAATCATCTCAACCACTCAGTAGTATGTAGTCTTATGCATCGATTCTTAGTTTCTTGATTACCAGTTATATAGTGGTATTCAACCTTTCTCGGACTTTTTCAGGTGATGACGGGATCCCAAGGTGGTCGGCGATCATTCATTGACCACCTCTTGAGTTGCATAGTTTAACTGCCACCGATTGTCTCCATTGCGTACTCATTATTGATTCTTCTCCGTGATTCTTTCTTTTTTTTTTGTTTCATAGATATTTGAAAATAAAATCAATTATTATCGTAGTCAAGTTCATATCCCAGAGTTGTACAATGCTGGTATCCCATTGTCAAAGTTAGCTTTATTCGCTGGACCGTTTGGACGTCAGAAGAATATTATATCGACAATTCCTTAAATGCCTTTGATTGTGAAAGAAACAACGATTATTATTCATTCCTCCTCAACACTTGTCTTGTGACTCATTCATTCTCCGACTTATGCGCTTTTTCCTTTTTTTTTTTTTTTAATATAGTTTGGTTGTTGATTGATCGACCCTTGATCACTTCTCATATTCCTGAGCTTTATATATCTATCTATCTATCTATCTATGTGTATATCTGCTTTCTTTCAGTTTTGATAGGGAGAGGAAGTGGTTGGGCGACTATCTTTCTTTTCTCTTGATCAATCCAGTTTATGATATTGTTTTAGAGTTACCTCGCGTTGCGTCAAGTGGAAGAAGAGGAAGTGAGTGGATAACCTGATTAGCCCTGCCCTGCCCTGCCCTGCCTGGCTCTCAACGATTTTATCGACAAATCACCACAAATACTACGATGCGAAATTTTCTTTCCCCTCTGACACTTTTTTATTCATCGATGATACTTCCTCATACCGAAACTGCTAATTTTCATTATTATTATTATTATTATTTTTATCGCATTTTTTATATTTCACTACACTCTGCTGCCTTCAAGTATACTTATGCATATAAATTTATGATAATATACCATTATTATTATTATTATTATTATGAATATAAACTTCATTAATCTTATTATTCAATTGAATTCTGTTTCGAGTAGGGGCCTGATTTCCATTTCATCCTCATACGTCTGCCTCGTCGCTATCCCTTCGGGGAGTGTCAGCTAGAAAGATTACCTGACTTCATGCTTACATGGTTATGACTATGAACAAGTAGCCTTATAGCCTGTTTTCGACACAATTTATTTTCTTTACGATATTTTTAAGCGATATAGATTCTTGATTGGTTCGCTGCATGATACAGTCACTTGTTACCTCTTTTCATACCTCATCCTTCTTACATTTCATCAGTTGGTTAGGAAATGCGTTATGTCATCCCAATACACCAATTTCTTGCATCACTTCAAATGCCTTCCTACTACAATAGTAACGAGTCGGCTTAGCGACAGCCGACTTCGCCCTGCCCTACGGAGGACAGCTTTCAGTGCTGCTTCCTACGGTTAATACAGGCCTACTTCTAAGTAGCCCATGAACAATTAACACAGGAAGACGGAGCAATAAACAATGAATTCGTAGAACACTGACCACACGAGTTAACAAACTTGAAAAGTGAACACTGAATCAGACTGATATCAGAATGTCTCAACATGATGAGGGAAAAGCCGACACAACAAGAGCATTACAGGAGACACATACTCATCCAAGATATATCTCTATGTATGTGTATTTAAGATTGCATATATGCTCAACTCTCCCAGCCAATCACTGTGAGACAGGAATCAAGCGAAACAAACCAGTTCATGTGAATCACGCTTGTAGTATCTGAAAGTGACGTCTAACAATCCGACATATGCAGGGATTTAGTTTAAGGATGATTGGACAAGGATGGCTGACGACTAATTGTCAAGTAGGCGGTGGAATGGAGATAGTGAAATAATCATCAGCATGATTAAGAAGACTGACCGCATCAGAAGGAGGCCGAAGTGATGATGTAGGCAGGAAGAAGACCAACTTGATTCAGTGAGTGATTAAGCAGTCCGTGACAGAGTGATTGACTGATTGATTGAGTGAGGGACATTGACTATAGTAAGCTAAGTAGTGTTGGAGGAATTCACTTTGTATACGCATACAATGTACTGATTCGGTATGAGAGAAATGCCAAGCATTCGCGAATAATCCAGCTGCCAGTCGGTCTTCGAAAACACCAAGCTTGTTTAACAAAAGATGGCATAGGTAGAGACAGAGTGAAAGCCAGATGATGTGTATCATGTGAGAAGGCGAAGTTGGATGGTTGGATAGTTAGTAGTAGTCTCATGCCTACGACACTCTTCTCATCACACAGGATGAATGGTGTGCCTTCCAGAAAATAAGCTGGCATCCTTCACATTATATAATATTGAGTCGCATGCATAGGCAAACATGAAGTCTTCATAATGGCTTCTTTTGTCCTACCCACCTAACTACCGACACAAATAACCAACTAATTCACTGACTAATTGACTGACTGGCTGGCTAGCTGACTGACTGACTGACTGACTGAATAACTAACGAACTCACTACCTCCGGATCGATTAGATTTTGCCATGTATGTAACTTCAATTTATGAATCACGTGTTGCTAAATGACCAGACTCTAACAGGTGATCACAAATAGTCGACTTTACAGTTCTACGTTCGCCTTTCATTAACCAAACCGGATAGTGTTCTGCTACACGTTTTCGGAGATTACGCTTACAACGTCCAATATAAACAGCTCCACAAGAGCAAGTGAAAGTGTAAATGCACATGGATGTGGACAAAAGCGGTAATCTATCCTTGACGCATTTTCTAATCATATTTCGGCTGGTAAAAACTAGATGCAAGTCAGCTGCAGGTAAAGTACGTTTAATACATTTAGATAAACGATTTTTAATCACTTCTGAAATGGTGTCACCTTTGAATGCAAGACTCATAAACAGCTTTTTCTTTGGTACTGTGACTTGTCTCGGGTTGGATTCTTTCTTGATGTTACGTTCAATGAACCTTGTAGGATAACCATTATTAAGGAGATTTGATCGAAGGTTGTCTAGTTCCCTATCGATTGTCTCTGGAGAGCAGATTTTATGAATTCTGGAGCATAAGGAGTGAATAAGATTTCTCTTTCTCCCTAAAGGTACCCAACTGTTGAAGTTAGTGTACTGCCCAGTGAATGTTGGCTTTCGATAAATCGACCTTAGAAGCGTTCCATTCTCTCTTCTATCTAGCTTAACATCAAGAAAGTGAAACGAAGAATCCGACTCTTCTTCGATCGTGAAAAGCAAAGATGGGTGAGAACCATTAAATATTCTAAGAAGTTCGGCAGTTGAAGTGTTTTCATCACATACAATGAAGGTATCATCAACATATCTTTTATACATAAACAGACTATCGATGGTTTCCTTCAGTGGGCCATTCTCTAAGCTAGCCATGAAAACGTCCGCTAAGAGCGGTCGTAAATGAGACCCCATGGCGACTCCATCTCTTTGGTTGTAGATGACATCATTAAATCTGAATTGCACATTCAGTGTGCATCTCAATAGTAGTTGTTTAAGATAATCAATCAGTTGGTAAGCCAATGTTGATGCTATTTGATTCAACATTAATTTCATCAACACAACTGATGAAGTCAAAAGTGTCGGAAAGACTATGTTTACATAGATTTAATCTAACTGGTTCCAGAATTTCCGCAAGCCATTTAGCGGTAGAGCGATACGCCGAATTTAGCATATCCAATACAGGTCGCAGAGGGACATCATCTTTATGCACCTTTGGGAGACCATATAAACGGGGGATAGTTGAACCAGATGGTTTAAGCTGTTCATACATATATGGAGTAATGATGCATTCTTGCTTCAATTTCGTCAAAGTTTTAGATAATTCCTTCTCAATATTATCTGTCTTGTCCTTTTGATCAGGTGATTTTAGAAATTTATCTTCATCACTCAGGATGGTACATAATTTATTGACATAATCCTCACGATTAAGAATAACAATACCTGATCCCTTGTCTGGACGAATCAGTATTATGTTTTTGTTGTTAAGCAATTCATTTAGTTGTCTTTTGTGTTCTTTTGATAACATTTGTCGTTGTCTGCCTTGCGTTCTTTGGTACTGGTAATAACAATGAAGTAATGAAGATTTGAATTGTTCAACATCTTCGCTGGACATTGGACTCAAGTCATGTGTTTGATTCATGAGATTTTCAAACTGAACTTTTGTGTCTAATTCGTTGACTCTGGACGAAACAGTAGAGAACTTAAGACCCAAAGATAGGATTTGCATTTGAATATCCGACAAATTTAAATTAGAATAGTTAAAAACGTATTTCTCTGGCGAATGCGGAAACTTAAAGTGAGACTCGATTGTTTTACAACTTTTCAGTATATTTATTTTAACATCTTCAGATCGTTTCTTTATAACGTCAGAAATATAATCCACAAACAGGCTACATTCTGTCTCTGTCAGTTCAAACAAGAAATGCCTACGTTGTGATACGTTATTCTCAAGTTCCGGAAGACGCGTTTGTATGGCGTCGATCAGGTTCAACGCATGACGCTTGAGAGTTCGACCATTTGGATAAATATGATTACGGCGTAAAATTTTCCAGTAAAATTCTGGATATTCTCCATTCTTAATGCAGCTTTTGAGAGTATCAGAATTAGCATTCGCTTCCACATGAACAGAAACCTAAATTATGTGTTCAAAAGCGTTTTGTCAAACCCCTTTCTTTACCTTGGTCATAATAATTTTCTTTCTAGTTTTTATTTTATTTTACCACTTGAATTCTTTCCACTTCACATCACATCTTCATTCTTATCGTAATCGTACTCCTAATTTTCATAACTTTTTAGACAACACTTGACATTTTTGTTATAGAAAAATCTTTCATATTTTTGTAATTTATCCACCTCAACTCTACCCCTTATAATTTTATCACATATACGTATAGACTGAGAAATTATTTAGTGCCAACTAATAACCATTTTCTGTAATATAAATACGATTGTACAGCTTGAAAATGAAGCCGTTGAAAAGAAATTTCTTCGCTGAACAAAAACTGTGTATTTCTTTATGAATAAATGCGTATTATTCGAGAACTAATTACGTCACAAACTAACTTGCTATCTGACTAGCTAACTACCAACATGATGAGATAGGTGCAAGCGCGAGAGATGTGAATAACGAGCGAGGGTTGTGACAGCCTGCCTTCCTGTGCATCCAACAACACTGTGACTGAAATTCACCAATTTCTTGCATCACTTCAAATGCCTTCCTACTACAATAGTAACGAGTCGGCTTAGCGACAGCCGACTTCGCCCTGCCCTACGGAGGACAGCTTTCAGTGCTGCTTCCTACGGTTAATACAGGCCTACTTCTAAGTAGCCCATGAACAATTAACACAGGAAGACGGAGCAATAAA